GTAACAAACCTTATAATATCTTCTTTTTTTCGCAAGCTGTTTTTTTTTTCATTTTTCATAAGATGTTTTTCAGAATGAAGTAATATTTATACTGCAGTTTGCACATTTTATTTGCAAGAAATTCAGCTGGCGATTTTTGTATGCAGCGTGAAAGTTGGTCACAGTTTTATTATTAAGATTATTATCTCTGTCTGTTCAGTAGAATTCTTCATGACCGCATGTAATATTTTAATCCATATTTTACACGATTAAAGATTTTCAGTGAAAGTATAACTGCACCAATGATTCGCCTATAGTAAGAATCTTAACAGAATTAATGTGAGAGTCTAATAGTAATACGTATCTTTTTTAAATTTGACAGTTTATATATGTTTTAAAATTCTTACAAAATAATTCATTAGTAAAATCACGCATCTGATATGTACTACATATGAATGCATACTTACAACAAAAACGATCTTGTATCCGATAAGATTTAAATTAATAATTTAAATGAGCAGAATTAAAATCAAAAGTAGAGACAACCAGGGAATTAATTCATGAAAGCGTGTTCTATCTTAGTGGTATTATAGTCTATTGAACTTTTTTCATGTCAAATACAATTATAGGATTATGAAACATGAATTAATGTACATGTGCACATTTAAGGCGGTTTTTTTCCCAGGCACGAGCACAATTAAATTGAATTTTGGGACATCTTATAATATTAGTTTAATATCTGTATTGTTAAATTACGAATATTTAAATACAGCTGATATTTCAAAAGGAAATTGATTTAATTTGCTAAAACTTATAGTATGAAAATGAAAGACTTCAAAGACGCCGACATTGTTCGAGGTCCACTGTGCCCCGTACGTCTTTTGTGGGAAAAACTCGTGGCCTGTACTGTACCTTTGACCATAAACACAATCGGTTGATTTAATTTATAGCAAATAAGGAATCGTCTCACACTCTGTCACACAACCTCCGTCCTCCTTTCACAGGCGCCGTAGCGAGAAATAAACCGTACGGTACGCTTTCTGCACGGAACGGTACGGTTCGTTTCTGAGGTGTAGTAGCACGGTTTAGGGTCTGTAGATCATTCTAACTAGGAATGGAATTGCGCATAATTTTAAACCATGTAGAATGAAATATAGATATTTATCGGTTTTCTAGGTGAAAAAAATCAGGAAATCTTTGTGCAATTTTTTGAGCAGAGTCGTTAAAAAATTTGACAAAAATGTAGCTTATGTAAACAAATGCAATGTTTCTCCGTTTTTAGCTCACCTCAACGAAGTTGGGGAAGCTTATGTGATACCCTCGGCGTCAGCGTCGGTGTCGGCGTCCCAGGTTAAGGTTAAGTTTTTTGGAGCAGTTTTCTTTTTAATTACTTCTGTGTCCTATACTGATTAGACATGCATGGAAAATGGTTTTAGTGTGTTTTATTGTACCAGACAAAGTTTCAGATGCTGCAATTTCAGCAAAGGAATTACCAGGTTAATGTTTTTGGAGCAGGTTAACATTTTTGGTGCAGTTTTTGGTGTGGGTTTCATTTCCAAGTAACTATCAGGCCTATGTTGACCAAACTTGCATGGATGATACATCTAAGGATGCATACTACCGGGATTGCTTCGGATGCTGAATCTGACCTACATTTTCCGGTTGAGTGAACAGGTTAAAGTTTTTGGTGCAGGTTTCATTTCCAAGTAACTATAAGCCCTATGTTGACCAAACTTGCATGGATGATACATCTAAGGATGCATACTACCGGGCTTGCTTCGGATGCTGAATCTGACCTACATTTTCCGGTTGAGTGAACAGGTTAAAGTTTTTGGTGTAGGTTTCATTTCCAAGTAACTATAAGCCCTATGTTGACCAAACTTGCATGGATGATACATCTAAGGATGCATACTACTGGGCTTGCTTCGGATGCTGAATCTGACCTACATTTTCCGGTTGAGTGAACAGGTTAAAGTTTTTGGTGCAGGTTTCATTTCCAAGTAACTATAAGCCCTATGTTGACCAAACTTGCATGGATGATACATCTAAGGATGCATACTACTGGGCTTGCTTCGGATGCTGAATCTGACCTACATTTTCCGGTTGAGTGAACAGGTTAAAGTTTTTGGTGCAGGTTTCATTTCCAAGTAACTATAAGCCCTATGTTGACCAAACTTGCATGGATGATACATCTAAGGATGCATACTACCGGGATTGCTTCGGATGCTGAATCTGACCTACAATTTCCGGTTGAGTGAACAGGTTAAAGTTTTTGGTGCAGGTTTCATTTCCAAGTAACTATAAGCCCTATGTTGACCAAACTTGCATGGATGATACATCTAAGGATGCATACTACCGGGCTTGCTTCGGATGCTGAATCTGACCTACATTTTCCAGTTGAGTGAACAGGTTAAAGTTTTTGGTGTAGGTTTCATTTCCAAGTAACTATAAGCCCTATGTTGACCAAACTTGCATGGATGATACATCTAAGGATGCATACTACCGGGCTTGCTTCGGATGCTGAATCTGACCTACACTTTCCGGTTGAGTGAACAGGTTAAAGTTTTTGGTGCAGGTTTCATTTCCAAGTAACTATAAGCCCTATGTTGACCAAACTTGCATGGATGATATATCTAAGGATGCATACTACTGGGCTTGCTTCGGATGCTGAATCTGACCTACATTTTCCAGTTGAGTGAACAGGTTAAAGTTTTTGGTGCAGGTTTCATTTCCAAGTAACTATAAGCCCTATGTTGACCAAACTTGCATGGATGATACATCTAAGGATGCATACTACCGGGCTTGCTTCGGATGCTGAATCTGACCTACATTTTCCAGTTGAGCGAACAGGTTAATGTTTTTGGTGCAGGTTTCATTTGCAAGTAACTTTAAGCCCTATGTTGACCAAACTTGCATGGATGATACGTCTAAGGATGCACACTACCAGGCTTGCTTCGGATGCTGAATCTGACCTACATTTTCCGGTTGAGTGAATAGTTAAAAGTTTTTGGTGCAGGTTTCATTTCCAAGGAACTATGAGTTCTTTAATGACCAGTCTTGCATAGATGATACATCTAAGGATGCATACTTCCAGGCTTGCTTCGGAAGCTGAATCTGACCTACTTTTTGTGGATGAGTGAAAATGTTAGTTTTAATGCATGTTTCATTTCCAATAAACTATGAGCCCTATAATGAGCAAACTTGCATGGATGATACATCTAAGGATGCACACTAATGGACTTGCTTCGGATGCTGAATTTGACATACATTTTTCAGATAATAGACAAGGTAAAAGTTATGGTTGCAGGTCTGTTACCAAAAACTATAAGGCTTATATAACATTGTATAAACCAAACTTTCACAAATGCTGCATCAAGAGATGAAAACTCTCAAATTTGCTTCAGATGCTGGATTTTCATTACATTTTCATGAAGAAGAAGTAGTTTAAATTTTTTATGTAGGTCTATTTCAAAGTATCAGATCAAAATTGCTTTTAAAAATATTTTCATTTTTGGAATGTATACTTTTTGTTGGTTAATTGTGTGACTTTGCCTTACTTAAAGACAACATTCGTTGAGGTGAGCTCTGTAATCTCTGATTACCTATGTTTTACTTTAAGAGAAAATTCTCTCCTTCTCCAACGATGCTGCACCTGTCAATCATGTCCTTTACTTTCTATTTTGATTATCCGGGCAACCAATCAATTAGTGCAAACCAATCAAAACGGTGATCTTTTTAAAATCTGATGTAAAGTCGGATTTAACTACAGTGGCACATTTGTGTTAATTTTCAACTAGGAATTCAGAAGAATGATAAGTTTTTGCCTTTATTTTGTTTTATTTTGAAAACAATGGCTTTGTTCTTCATAAAAATAGTAAATGCAGTTGGAGTATGATATAATTATTGTTTTAAAACGATGTACATGGGACAAAAGCAAGAATAATGGCAAAAGTCATTTTGTACATCTTTTATTGAATATTATTTTTCAAATTTATTAAATTCACCAGTAATATGTTTATTAAACCCCAAAAGATTGCATGGAATCTGCAACTTCATCCTAAAAGAAAAATGACCACAAATGTTACATTCAACTATGTAAAACTTTAACTTAATAGCGGGAAGTGCTCACCATACCAGTAAGGCATGAGGAGCTCGTGTTTAACAGGATTTTACGGAGATAAACATTGACAAAGATCCAAAAAGAGATTGAAAATTAACTCATCAAGAGTTAAATCACTAGATCAAATTGAATTTTTATCCAACAAGACACAACAAAGATTTTTTTTGATCAACATGATCAATTGATCAAGAAGTTCAGCTGTTACAGACAACTATGGGTATTGTTTTTACGAAGTTGCGGAGAAATTGCACATAGAAATTCGATCAATTTATGTTAATTGTGCTAGGAATATGTTCACTAAAATCCCCCAATACCTAAATAAATGAGCTTTTGTTTTATTTTGATAAAAATTGTAATAGAATAAAAAAGTCCCCCATTTAGTTAGTAAATTTCATCACTGATATGGTAGATTGTCTACCAAATGGGGGATAAAGGACCATTTGGTAGGTTGTGCCCAACCTGTTCATAACAATGCTAATAAAATGGAAATTCAATTTTCAGTGACATGCAGTTGGTCACATGATCAGATTTTCTTGAGTATGGAAAGCAAACTGCATGAGCCATTTGGAAAGTTCCAATTATGACGTCAAATAACGTCGTAGATACGTTATATTGCATTTCCAAAGCAAAGTCTAAATAATGCCTATATTTCTATGTAACAGGACAAAAAACATAAAATATAAATATAAGAAATAAAATATAATTTTTAGAGTTTCATTGGGAATGACATGAAGTCGGTACATGATCAAATCTACTAGAATTTGATAACGTGACTGACTTCATGTCGCACCCCAATGAAACTCTAAAAATGATATTTAATTTCTTAATTAATTAAAAGTGAAAGAAATAAAACTTAGAGATGTTCAAAACAGATTATGATATCTCCATCTTTTTACTTCAGGTTTATCAAAAAATAAATTTGATGTCTACAAATGTTCCGCAAATGAAGCCATACATTTCAAACTTGGTAAGTATAAAAGTATAAACGAAGATAGAAACGTTCTATCGTTAAAATGATATTGTCCTATGGACCCTGTTTTATATCGATAGAATTTGTTCCATGTATTGACTATGTAGCAAAATGAACATGGGTGATAATTCAAACTCTGTGCATTTACTTACGTACGAATAATTCAGAGTGTTCCGAATGTAAGCATGGCAGGTAAATTTGAAGTGAGAAGTAATTGTTGAGAAAATTAATTGAATTTTCGTCGTTATGTTTGTAGTTAGAAAGGAAGAAGACCTGGATGACGATACATCAACATTCCTACCGGAAATGACACATCAGGTCTTTGGAGAAAAGTAAGCAATTATTTACCTTTAACTTGCTAGGACCATTATGAATTAATGTATTTTGAAGGTTACATGTATGAAGCAGAATTTTTAGGATGAGTTTCCAATGGATATTTTAGTGATCACTGTATGTTTGCTTCTTCCTATGTCTTGAATCATAATTTGTGGTGATTCGCATTAATAATGGATTCTTCATAGAAAGTCACCATTTTGGATAGATTATACACTGCATTGCATTTCTAGTACATGGCTTAGCATGGACTAACCATGTACATGTAAATGTACTGTATGTAATTTTTTTTTACCTTTTCTTTACATATTTTTAACAGTGAGAGTATTTTTGGATACAAGGATTTGGTGGTAGAGATGTACTATACTGCTGCTAAACTGACAACATTCATAAATCTACAATACATCACCAAAGTTTCACCAGAATTACACGAAGGACTAAAGGTATTCATTTCCAATTTAATTCAGAATTAGAGTCGTCTAACCTGATCTCAATTTGTCTACTTTTGTTTCTCGTCTAAATATATTAAAGATTTTAAGTTCAACTTTGCACATTTTGAGTAGAAGGGAATTATATATTCCTCAATCCTTGTGGAATTCAGTGAAGAGAATATCCAAAAGAACAAAATAATTAGGACAAAGATTATTAAGTCATCATTGACAAGAGTACAATGAACTGATTGGATCAGAATTTGTAAATTTCACCAACCCATTTCTGCAGCGAAGATTTGTTTAAAACAACTTGATGCATACAGATGCATAACTCTGTTTTTATACGCCCGTCTTAAGACGGGACGTATTATGTTATAGGCTTCCTGTCCGTCCGTCTGTCTGTTAGCTTTTTCGTTTCCGGCTCATAACTTTAATACCACTAGGCCTAGGATTATCAAACTTTGTCATCTGATGCATCTTGGGTAGAAGGTGTGTCGCGCACAAAAAGTAGGTCGCTCTGACCTTTAATTAAGAAGTTATAGCCAAATATGGAAAAATCCTTTCTGGCCCATAACTAGAAAACCATAAGACCTACAATCATCAAACTTGGCCAGTTTATGCATCTTAGGTAGAAGGTGTGTCGCGACCTATTTCAAGGTCACTGTGACCTTTAATTTAAGTGAATTTTAAAAAAAAAAATGTGTCTTTTTACTATTCATTTACACATCCCAAATAATGTAAGAGTATTGCACTGTTCTTATTAAAAAAGTGTTAAATCAAGAAAATACTTATTTTTTTTAAGCATATACTTGACAGCAATCTAAAACAAATATAATGTATGTTAGAGAAATCCCATGTCTCCCATGAGTGTAATTATCAAGCACTGGTCAAGAAGAATTTTGATAACAGAAAATTGCGTCAAATTAGAGAGAAATTAATGGGTTTTGAGTGCGAGGAGCTAATTGGCGTTATCTATATCCCTTGAGAATTGGGCAAATGGGTAAGCCTGTGTGATTAAAAATAGCTCTTGTTGACTAGCTTAAGTTTTGAAATGAATTTGATGAAAAGTAATTAAAACTAATTTGATATTGCCTAATAGACTAATCTGATATTATGTAATATTATTAATTTAAAAACTAATTTTATGGGGTGGGGTTGAATCAGCATGTCCATATGAATTACATACTAGAACCTGTCGGACATTAAATCTCAACCAAAAAAAAAAAAAATCTGAGAGTATTTTATATGTTTTTAAAAAAAAATTATAGTAGATAGTGCAGACCCATTCATCTCTTGGTAGTAATGAGTAGAAAAGCATCCAGTTAAAGATTAATTAATGAGTTCAATGTAGGAAGGCTAGCTGTCTCAGTCGCTCTGATTAAGCAGCCCTTTGGGGATTAGACGGAAGAACAGCTGGTCAGTTTATAACATATGTCATTTGATGGCCAGCCTTTTTTTTCAAAATTAATTTGGTATAGATTAAGTTGTTAAGACTAATTTGATGATGGGCATTTGGTCTAACACAACCAGCACAGAAATCTATCAGTGATGTAATATTTATTATAATTGATGCCTACATCACAGGGGATGGATAAATATTTTAAGGAATGGAAAAATCATTGAAATCTTAAAATCAAGGTTGATGTGATTTTTTTGCACCTAAACTGTTCAAGAAAATTGGTAATTTTTTGACGGGCGTATCATGTCGTGGCGCGGCACTTTATTAAAAATGTGGAATAGATTTAAATGAAACTTTTCGTTTAGCCTTTTTTTTTCTAGAAATTAAACAGATACATATATGAAAATTTAAAGTATTTAAAAATGTATTGGTATCTTTACTATGTTTATATTTGTGAGTTTGGCAGAAATTATAATGCAGTATCCATTTTGGCTTATATTTAGGCTGATGATGTCATTGGTCAGTTACGAGAGGTGGTGCCCCCTGGTTTCCTAACCAGTAGAGATGCATTCCTCAACTCAATACCGAAGGATGCTGACTTCAAACCATTTGGAAAACTTGTGCACTCTTTCACTGTACACAGAGGTAATGAAGTTATTCTACTCTTTCTAAAAAAATTTATATATAAAGACTGATTAAATGACTGGCAATAAAAATCAAGTTGCAGTAAGTAATTTAATAAAGGTTGCCATGGTTACCTAAACTGAAATTATTTCAAAATGTTACTACTCCTACATTTTTGGTCTGATTGTAATAGAACTTGGACCACAAGTAGATGACATGAAAAAGCTTGTGTCCTTGAAGATTTTGAGAAATGAGGATACAATGGCTACCAAAAAAAAGAATACATTTTCCGTGAAAATTTGTAAAAATGATACTCCTAAAGTTTTGGTATAATTTCAGTCATACTAAGTAAAAATGTAGAAAACAGCAGGATATATACAAGCATTTCTGTAAAGTAAAAGTTGTGTAAAAAGTGCTGAAAGTCCAGGTACATTTTTCCCATTTTCATTCTTTGAAGTAAGACCAGTAGAGCTATCAACTCATCAGAGACTACAGACTGTAGAACTGCAGTCTTATCAGTTTTTAGCTCACCTCAACGAAGTTTGGGGAGTTTATGTAATACCCTCGGCATCGGCATCTCAGGTTAAGTTTTTTGGAGCAGTTTTCTTTTTAAGTACTGCTATATGCCCTATATTGATTAGACATGCATGAGAGATGCTTCTAGTGTGTTTCATTGTACCAGTCAAAGTTTCAGATACTGCAATTTCAGCAAAGGAATGACCAGGTTAATGTTTTTGGAGCAGGTTAACATTTTTGGTGCAGTTTTTGGTGTAGGTCTCATTTCCAAGGAACTATAAGCCCTATGTTGACCAATCTTGCATGGATGGTACATCTAAGGATGCATATTACCAGGCTTGCTTCGGATGCTGAATCTGACCTACATTTTCCTGTTGAATGAACAGGTCAATGTTTTTGGTGCAGGTCTCATTTCCAAGTAACTATATGCCCTATGTTGAACAAACTTGCATGGATGATACATCTAAGGATGTACACTACCAGGCTTGCTTCGGATGCTGAATTTGACCTACATTTTTCCTGGATGAGTGAAGAGGTTAAATTTTTATGCAGGTTTCATTCTAAGTAACTATTAGCCCAATGTTGTGCAAACTCGCATGGATGATACATCTTAGGATGCAAACTAATGGACTTGCTCTAGATGCTGAATTCGACATACATTTTCCAGATAATGGACCAAGTAAAAGTAATGGGTGCAGGTCTATTACCAAGAAACTATAAGGTTTTATATAAACCAAACTTGCCCAAATGATACATCAAGCGATGAAAACTCTCAAGCTTGCTTCAGATGCTGGATTTTAATCACATTTTCGTGATGAAAACTAGTTTGAAGTCTTTATATAGGTCTATTCCAAAGTATCAGATCAAAATTGCATAAATTTTGCATTTTTGGATGGACACTCTTTATTAGGTAATTGTGTGACTTTGCCTTAATACTTAAAGACAACATTCGTTGAGTTGAGCTCTGTAATCTCTGATTACCTTTGTTTTGATTTTACAGATGGGAAGGACAGACAGTTTGAGATCTACAGGACGGGGATAGAGACGTCAGGCTTCAGAGAGTACCACGAGAGACTCCAGACCTTTATTTTGTTCTTCATTGATGCTGCTTCCTTCATTGATGCGGATGACGAGAGATGGCGCTTCTTCTTACTGTATGTTATCCTTAAGTTTAATTAATGTTTTTGGTCTCCAGAATCTCTTGGTAGACATATTGTCAACCCTTTTCAGCCCTCCCATGTATGGCTATTAAAATTGTTCCCATTTTTATGCCCCCTCCATGCAGTGTTTTTCTATCCTTCATCCTTCTTTTTGCCCTGCAGCCATCACACTTGTCATTTACATGTGGCTCAGTTTCAAAGAGTCTGTTCTAGACATATGAACCAAAATTCACACACTGATACACACTGGTGAATTATTCAACTTTAGTGTAATCTTTGCCCTTGACTGTCAGACCCTGTGACCTTGACCTCATTAGTTACTATATTTATTATGATGAAGCTTAGTTTCAAAATAATGCCCTCTTCACACAAATGAACATTATATTTTTAAATATTCTGGTTTTCTTAAAGCATTTTTCATTTGCAGAATGTTCTACTTTTAGGTTTGAAAAGTACATGTGTAATGGAAATCCAATGTATGCTATAGCAGGTTACATGACTGTATATAATTACTATGCTTACCCAGAGAAGTTACGTCCAAGAGTCAGGTAAAACATTGCACTATTATAATTCAATAAATAACATGAAGCTAATTAATTTTGTTTCCTTTTGAAAAAAAAAATTGTAAAAGGCTTTTTATATGCTGTTAAATAGATAGGTTGTGATTTGAAACTCAAGATGCCTATGAAATTTGTCATTATCAATCATAACAATGGCTTTGATAGAAATGATACATCTGTATAATGTATTTATAACATAATTTCAGCCAAGTGCTAATCCTGCCGCCCTTCCAGAGGATGGGTTTGTGTGCCGAGCTGTTACAGACCTTCTATAATGATGTGTACAGGAAGAAGGAGGTGTTAGATATCACAGGTAACGATACAGTAGGAATAAAGTCATACAGTGTACAAAATTTTTACAAAATGTTGTGAAGTTACTTTTCATATTCATTAGAAAAGAATAGATAGATAAACAATAGAAAAACTCCTTTTAAAGTCATGTGTTTAGACTATGTTTGTTTTTGAATGACAGTAAGCAGGTTTTAAATCTTCAATGTAATTTAACTGTAATATTTTTACCCATTAATTCGTTTTCATAACACAGTTGAAGATCCCTCAGAAAATTTCCAGAGAGTCAGAGACTTTGTGGATGTTAAGAACTGCCAAAGCCTTGCGTCTTTCCAACCTGAGAAACTCTTGAAAGGCTTCTCTGAGGAAATGCAGAGGGAAGCCAGAGAAAAATTCAAGCTCAACAAGGTTTTTGTTTTGTTCAGATTTTATCCCATTTTTCAGTGCATCACTTTTTTTCTGATTATTAAATGAGAATTTAAATTATAATCATATGTGTACTTTAACATTTAAATTTAAACTTAAAATCTAAATCATTTGGTAATGAAAAAAATACATTTAAAAAATTTAGCTTTGTCAGGAAGTCATTCTATTCTTGCATGAAAAGGTAGAGTTTTGGTGAGTGTATATGGAAAAATCAGCCTCCTCTCGTTCAGAATGTATTAAGTATGTCGTGTGATTTGTAGAGACAAACGAGGAGAGTGTATGAGATTCTGAGGTTGAAGGCTACAGATACAAGTAACAAAGAACAGTACAAAGCATACAGACTCGACATGAAAAGGAGGCTAAATGCACCATTCCAGGTACAGTATAATTTGTCTAAACCGGCTACCGCCGGTTCCATAAAATTTGGCCGGTTTAGACAGAATCCGGAGTGCAGGAAAAATGCAGGAAAATATTAATTTTTAAATTTCGTTGTTTATTTACAAGTACATCATATACATAATATAAAATATAATTAAATGATAAAATCAATCAATATTTTGGAGTCTAGAAATTATAAAATAGTCTTGTATGACTTACTGTATTTTTTTGTTTGTTCACGAAGTTTGAAAGTCGGAGTGAAATATGTTACCTAAATCAAAATCTACAGCTGAGGCACGCGTATTATAGGCCTACTATATATCAAGCGGACCGGGTTTCGCTTGTCAAAGAGCTCATTCAATGTATAACCAGTAATGCAATTATTAACGATGTGATAATTATTGGATTCAACTTTTAATTTTTATGTAAAAAAAAAAAATTAAAAAAAATACGTCTTCCCACACTGTTATGGCGCCATTTTGAAATGCGTTCGATTTTCGATCCCGATTTATATTTTGATTCGTAAATCACGTACTTATAAAATTTTGTATTTATGTTATAATGTGGTAAAATGAGTAGAAACAAGATTAATTTTTTTTTAAATTGTAATTTAATAATATAATATTTTTTTTTCAAGCGGGCTGTGTCACCGCCGCATTTCACCGAGTTCGTCTCATGGCACTAATGCTTATGTAAACACAGATTAGCACTTCCACCACGAAAGGTGTTAATTGCTTTGAAGTAACTCAGGTGTGGCCGGATTAGGGGAAATAATTACCGTTAATTATGAGCAGTTGGGACCAGTATGGCCGTTCGGAATACAGAATAGACAGTATCCGGACTACACAGAATTTTATCTAATGAATTTGTTAAAGAAGTGCATGGGACTAAAATTTATAGACGGAATGGACAAAAATCCGGAGTACTCAGAGTACGGATTAGACAAATTTTACTGTATGTCCTCTTGTCAAATAAAAGGCAAATCCTGGGGAGGGGGTGTGGTCATTTACAGAAAGGTGCCCTTACCATTTAAGATCATATCCACTACATAAAACTTAATATTAGAAATATTTTTTTCTGATCATATTTTGTATTAATTTTGAAAGTGAGACAAGTTATTATTGTAGATTTATACTTTTTTACTCCAGAAAAATGGTCGTGATTTTGATAAGCTGAAGAACGTCTTACGTCCAGATGAGTTTACAGCCACATTAAGCTCCATCACCGAAGAGCAGAGACACCAGTATTTAGAGACAACATTTCAGGAAAATGTGGAAATGTATAGGAAAGTTATAGACCGACTAGCCACCTCTTAACCTGCCCAGTATTGTCTGTTAACTGTGTCTTGGCAATGGATGGTGCTCGTCTGGACTTACAAATGACTGGACATTCTTTCATTAAAAACTTTCCTTACATTTCTCATCAGTTTATAAGGGATTATTTTTTTCCAGTTCATTTGACTTGCATGGTGAAGAATAATTTTCCATTTAGTGAAATGTTTACATCAAGGCTATGAATCTTATTTTATTTAAAAGCTGACTTTGCTGCGAATGCAGATTCTACAAATAAGTTTTTCATTTCTGCTGCAAAATATGAGTTAAGTTCCATTTTGTTTATCCCTGCTCAGCCATCAGAATATCTCATCTCCCCATTCATGTAAACAGTACTTTAAGATGAAAAATGTGTGGTTATACTGTATTTTCATGCTAGACATAAGTCATATGTGATAATGAATACTTCACCTCAATGTGTAAAAGTGTTCTTTGGCAGGTCAACCTGTTCTGCTGATGTGAATTATACATTTCATTTCTTACTCTCTTTATATGATTCCAGTTTTCATTTTGTTTTATTGATAAACAGATAAGTAAAAAAAAATATTTACTACATGTACATTCATTTGTTCCAAAAATGTATGGATGTCTGTTTCTCTCTCTCTCTCCCTCTCACAGCATTTAAGAGTTGAATACATTTATATTTTTCATCTAATTTTTCCTTCTTGTTTGACATTTAATGAATGTTGCAATATATACATGTATATGTACAAGTAACATAAATTTAGAAATTGAAAAAAAGTGTAGCAGCTAAGTTCTGGGTACATAAGTACACGTGTCTCAGAATATTTTTGATATTACACTTACTAGTCTTATGTCATGAATCTATTTATAACCTATTACATTTGGGTTACATATAGGAGACGTTAACATACAAGTATACCCGGTAGTATGTTTACATTTTCATTCTTGTCTCCAAAACTATGATTGAACCATAAATGAAGTGAAAAAAGAAACAAAAGGACATAAATTGATTTAAATTGTACATGTAGTAATTTCCAGCAAAATCAAATTTCTTACATATTGTAGTTTCCAATAGTAATGTCTGATATCATTACATTTGAAATTTTTTATCTATTGGTTATGTGTTTTTGTGATATTTTTGGTGAAATAAATGACTATCGATGTTCTATTACTATTATTATGTTTGACTTACCTTTTGGAAAAGGGTTAGTGCTTTAATGTCAGTGATGTTCATGCTCACACCAGTATCCTATTTATTTAATTCATTTAATATTATTTTCCTTGTATGTGGCAGAGGAAGAGTGGATGTAAGATGAAAATAAACTTAAAAGCATTCAGGTTTTTTTTTTCTCTTTTTACAGTCAAATTTTGTTATCTCGAACTTGATGGGATTGAGGAAAAACTTTGAGATATCTGATTATTTGAGATCTTGATGGTAAAATACTGAAAGAATAAGTGGTTGGGACTTCTAAATCACTTCGATATATCCATAGTATTCGAGATATCGATGTTTGAGACACCAAAGTTCAACTATATGATTTTTAGCTCACCTCGACGAAGTCGAGATGAGCTTATGCTATACCCCCGGCGTTGGCGTCGGCGTCCCAGGTTAAAGTTTTAGGAGCATGTCCATTCCCAAGTAACTATAAGCCCTATCTGAACCAAACTTGCATGGATGATGCATCTAGGGATGTACACTACCAGACTTGCTTGGGATGCTGGATCTGACCTACATTTTCTAGATGAGTGACCAGGTTAAAGTTTTTGGAGCAGGTTAAAGTTTTTGGAGCAGGTCCATTCCCAAGGAATTATAAGCCCTACCCAGACCAAACTTGCATGGATGATGCATCTAGGAATGTACACTACCAGACTTGCTTCGGATGCTGGATCTGACCTACATTTTCCAGATGAGTGACCAGGTTAAAGTTTTTGGAGCAGGTCTATTCCCAAGGAACTATAAGCCCTACCTGAACCAAACTTGCATGGATGATGCATCTAGGGATGCACACTACCAGACTTGCTTCGGATGCTGGATCTGACCTACATTGTCTAGATGAGTGACCAGGTTAAAGTTTTTGGAGCAGGTCCATTCCACAGGAACTATAAGCCCTATTTGGACCAAACTTGCATGGATGATGCATCTAGGGATGGACACTACCAGACTTGCTTCCGATGCTGGATCTGACCTACATTTTCATTCCCAAGTAACTATAAGCCCTACCTGAAGCAAACTTGCATGGATGATGTATCTAGGGATGTACACTACCCGACTAGTTTCAGATGCTGGATCTGACCTACATTTTCATTCCCAAGTAACTATGAGCTCTATTTGGACCAAACTTGCATGGATGATGTATCTAGGGATGGACACTACCAGACTTGCTTCGGATACTGGATCTGACCTACATTTTCATTCCCAAGTAACTATAAGCCCTACCTGAACCAAACTTGCTTGGATGATGCATCTAGGGATGGACACTACCAGACTTGCTTCGGATGCTGGATCTGACCTACATTTTCATTCCCAAGTAACTATAAGCCCTATTTGGACCAAAACTTGCATAGATGATGTATCTAGGGATGGACACTACCAGACTTGCTTCGGATGCTGGATCTGACCTACATTTTCATTCCCAAGTAACTATAAGCCCTACCTGAACCAAACTTGCTTGGATGATGCCTCTAGGGATGGACACTACCAGACTTGCTTCGGATGCTGGATCTGACCTACATTTTCATTTCCAAGTAACTATGAGCCCTATTTGGACCAAACTTGCATAGATGATGTATCTAGGGATGGACACTACCAGACTTGCTTCGGATGCTGGATCTGACCTACATTTTCATTCCCAACTAACTATGAGCCCTATTTGGACCAAACTTGCATAGATGATGTATCTAGGGATGGACACTACCAGACTTGCTTCGGATGCTGGATCTGACCTACATTTTCATTCACAAGTAACTATAAGCCCTACCTGAAGCAAACTTGCATAGATGATGTATCTAGGGATGGACACTACCAGACTTGCTTCGGATGCTGGATCTGACCTACATTTTCATTCACAAGTAACTATAAGCCCTACCTGAAGTAAACTTGCATGGATGATGTATCTAAGGATGGACACTACCAGACTTGCTTCGGATGCTGGATCTGACCTACATTTTTCATTCCCAAGTAACTGTAAGCCCTAGCTAAACCAAACTTGCATGGATGATGTATCTTAGGATGGACACTACCAGGCTTGCTTGGGATGCTGGATCTGACCTATATTTTCCATACAAGAGACCAGGTTAAAGTTTTGGGAACAGATCAATCCGAATGAATTTTTTTGATATCTGCAGTTTTAACAGTTATGAATATTTGTTTGCACAATACATGTTTTTCACACTACACGCATAGAAATGTATATATGCCATGTAGAGGGTTAAGCACAACTTGCAAAAATATTGTTGTTGGGATGAATACTTAATATTATTAAAATATGATGTAGGATTTGCATTACTTAAACTGATAACATTCGTCGAGGTGAGCTTCGTAATCTTTGATTACCTATGTTTAATGTTTTATGAAGGTGTACAATCTTCATTTACAAGAGTTTCATGGAAAAATAGAATAAATTAAATGCTTCATTAAAAAGAACTAAGTTTATGTACATTCTAGATAAAAGATATATGAAGATATATCTCTGAATCTTCATCTCCCAACTTCTGGATGTCTTCAATATTCACAATACAACACAACACTTGTAGGATTGTAATTATAAGTAGTCTCTCCATCATCAGTAGCCTTTAGTATTTCTTCTGGTCCAATACCCATTTTTTCAGAGCCTGAAATATATGTGAATACCCTTAATTAAAGTGTAGAAAATACTACATCTCTGACTCTTTGCGGTCATATATTTAATATTACACACCTGAAGTTAAACTGCCTGTACATTTTAAGATTAGTTTACCTGGATACCATTGTATACTGGAGTGCAGTAGTCTTTGACAAAGTTTTCTGGTAAGTCTGTCTCGAGTCCTAAGTCACGACTGTAGGTCAGCGCTTTACCTCCGTCAAACGGAACGTAACACAGACGAGTGGTCAGCTCATCCACTGGTCTCAGGAAGGCTGGACCGCCAGCCATTACCTACAAACAGGAGTAATCATAGATAATTTGTGTTAAGATGGTCTCACTAAAGGATTGTGAAACAATACACCACATTTACTGCTGTAAACAACTGCTACACCACATTTACTGCTGTAAACAATACTTACAGCTACACCACATTATTTTACTGCTGTAAACAATATTTACTGCTACACCACATTTACTGCTGTAAACAATACTTACTGCTACACCACATTTACTGATGTAAATTTTACTTACTGCTACACCATATTTACTGATGTAAACAATACTTACAGCTACACCACATTTACTGCTGTAAACAATATTTACTGCTACACCACATTTACTGCTGTAAACAATACTTACTGCTACACCACATTTACTGATGTAAATTTTACTTACAGCTACACCACATTTACTGATGTAAATTTTACTTACGGCTACACCACATTCATCCAGCATGACAGCACACATCTCCTCACAGGTTTTATACCCCCTTCTTCTGAGATTTTCCTTGATGACCTCAAAGTCAGGGAATATGTAGTACCCCGCAGTAGGTTTTACGGCCTTTACTCCCACTGACGTCAGTTCCCTGTTATGATATAGATGAAGGTGGAAATGAATATTTCAAATCATCTCTAAAGATTTTTAATTGAATAACTAAGTACATAAAAAAAAATTAAAAACAAACTCCTTCCATTATTAAGACTGATGAAGAAATTAAGTAGTAAAGTACCATACCAGTAGCAATAAGAGCCCACAGCATCCAGTATCCGAGAGCAGTGTTTGATGTAGTCATCACAGAGATCCAGATTCTGGAACATCTAAAGTACAGACATATGTTACATATCACTGGTTCAGCTTCTGTCCTAAATTATCCCCATTTAGTGTTTACCTCAAAGAATATATACTGAACTCAAGAGCAGGCTGGTCTATGGTTGTGACTGACCTTTTTGGCCAAAG